GTCCGGATTTTCTGAAACCATATTTTGATATACAATGTTAATAGCTTGACGTGCAGTTTCAGTTGTTCTCGACCCGTGAACATAAATTCGGATAAATTATTCCACTGTTACGGAAAGTCTTCAAAATTGCAGGAACGACGGACTCGTTTAGGGTAAAATGAACAAAAATGCTTGAAATTTGAAGCGGATGCCTGCTTCAGAATTAAAAACACGAAATTCAGGGGAAAAAATTTGAAAGCCTGGCGTTCTTTCCTCCCCTCGAATACGTCTACTGGAACGGTAAAAAATGATTCTTGTTGTTCGCTACACCGAAAGCATTTATTTGCGCACCTCACTAAATCTAAGCTCTTGGACGAGAAAAAGAAGTGTAATGACGGCGTACTTCGCAGAAACAATTCCGGCTTCTCTTTTCCGGCAGCCGGATAAGCTGAACTCTCCGGCCACTTATCAGGAAGAAATTACTCCGTGAAAATCTTATTTCACCTTTCTGTTTGCACCAACCGCGAAAAACGGAATTCGTTCTGTTGCGCTCTATCCGTAACTCTGTGGAAATCGGAACGGATGGCAGCTTGGGTTGCCGCGTACTCGTAACCTCTATAAAATTAGTTGCACAACGAACGAACAGCAGAGCATTCTTTTAAAGGACAAATGAGAAGTTAGGTGTAATAAGAGCGTGAACGCAAGGAGGTTGTTTTGAGAAAACAACGTTCGAAGAACGGAAAGCAGAAATATTTAAATATTGGAGAACTAGCACTTGTAAATTGTGCATGAAAATATTTTAATTTGCAATTTCCTTTGTGAAGTATTCATAACAATATTATAATATTAATACTAAATCGTAATAGATAGCAGATAAATACAACTCGTACAAATTTTCTACTGTAATAACAATACATACAGGTAGTATGTCTTACTAAATGTAGTCAAATATTTAAATGTAAATTGCAATAAAACAATCTTTGTATATTTACAGTAATAACAATAATAATAATAATAAGTATAAAATTAAATAAAACAATAAATTATAATATACAGTAGCCAGATGAGAACTAAGTACTACGGCTCTGTTACTTTTTAAAATGCTGTGTGTTCTACAATTTTGAAAATATCAGTATATACTTATAATAAGTTATGTATGCTTAAATGTAGAACGCGCTGAGTCAATGTCAGCAAAAATAGAGATAACCTCTCACCGTTATTGCACATAACGCCTTGTGTAAAAAATTGATCGTCGTGACCCAGTGATCCCGTGACGCGGGGCGCATTCGCGTAAGCTGTCGATTTCACGGTGGTGTACGGTGCCAGGGAAGCTTCTCGGAACGAGTTAGAGGAACTGTCAAAGACGTCTAGTCAAATGGGATTAGAGGTTTATACGTCGTAAGGTCAGCGCTCGCTTAAAGTGCTTCAACGATGCGTTGCATATACACGCAAGTGACGTTGCACGTGTCGCGAATACACAAACTTCGGCTCACGATCCCTTCAGACGTTCGCTGATTGATTCTCTGAAGTGATTTCGCACTATCGACTCGCATTATCATACGCAAGGCAGTTCGGGGCAATATCTAGAGTGGGTATGCTTGATTCATGGCCGAGCAATATTGTTCTCTATCGCGCCACCGCGAAGCAAGTCGGCGCGACGTTACAGAGGCGGCCATGCAATCAGAAATGTGAAAATTACCGCTGGAAACCTGTACACCATCATATATTCGCAATTCGAAATTAGTATATTACCGATAAGCACACATATTGAGCTGAAAGATGGTAAATATGTAGGGGTGAATCAGTTTATTGTTAGCTGTTCAATAATATTACCTTGCTTATTGCTTTGAAAAAACTTTTTAAGGAAAGTATTTTTTCTTAGGAATTTGTGTTATAGAATTCAATAGAATGAAACGTTAATTACCGGTCTCAGAAGTTAAAGAAGTAAATACAGTCTGCAGATATAGAGTAAGAATTGTAAACATGACGATAGATGTAGAGATGTAGTAAACTTAACCATAAGCTGTATCTAATTATACGATTCTTCAAGTTATATGAATATATCGAGTTATGTTTACTAGTATAATGCAAATAAATTTAAATAAATTTAGTTTATTTAAGTTTTCCAGATAAGAGGGAATTCAAATGATTTTGATTGACGTAATTATATACGTGAATGTTTAAAGAACGATTTTCTAATTACTATCCATCTGTTCGTTCCATTTTGAAGTGATTAACTCCAAATTATGACACTCATTCCCAGTCAACATATGAAGAAGTTCTGCAAAATCGGTAATATTAAAATTCAGAAACGTTAGATATCTAAAATTGTAACACACGATAAACAACTGGAGTGAAACACTAAAATTAGTAAGGATAACATAGGGCGTGCAAATACGAAAATATAGGAAAAACTTCACAATGAAAATTCTGAAAATTGTATTGCTCTTTCGATGAGTACTATTTTGATTTAAAAGCAATGAAATATTCTTCAGAAAATTATTAATAATCTTGAATAGAGAGTAAATAGATCAACAAGGAACGTGGACGGAAAATATATTTTGTGACATTTTGAATAACAAAGTTCCTGGATTTCATTTCAGTGATAGGATAATAGATAGCAAAGAATGTGCAAAGTATTTATTGGATCCTGTAGGTGAAGCGATAGAAATTGAACTAATACGAGTTTATGAGACTATATGGTACTAACGTAATGGTCACCCAGTTTATCATTCATGAGCAACTATTCACGTATTAAACGCTCGTAAATCATAACTGGCACGTTATTGCACCTGGCATTACTAGATTTTCTTCTGTGTAGATGGATGAAAGAAACCAGGAATCTCTCATTTTGAAAGATATGAAGGATTGCATAACTATAATTTATACAGATATAGTCACTGATGAATGGTATATGAGTTTACATCTCGCAAACATTCGTTTCAATACTCATTCAAGTTTTCATTATTTATTTAACGTTTAAACCTCAAAGTCATAAATTAGTAATATTTGAATGCACTTTAGCATTTACTACAAGATGGAGTAAAAAACTATACTTTTTGAAAATAACATACCGATGACATAGAAAGAAATAAGAAATATGATTATAAAAATAAATAAAACAAATTTCTATTTTTGATACTCCAGTTTTGGAACAATTAGAATTGTTTGAAACATTTTTGTGTTATCATTAGCGAATGATATGATCAAGTGTATTCAGTCTATATCAGTTTCTCTATTTCAGGATTTGTGTGTAGTTTTGACACAAATTCATTCCTTCACGTCGTTGAAGTAGAAAAAGTACAACGTGATTCATACGCAGACATCCATCAGTGACCACTATGTATCATAGTCCGCAAACGCTAAAAAATTGTTTATTTCTATGAAGCTTCAACATTTTCAATAATTTAACGAATGAAGAAACTTTACATAAAACGTACATAAAAAATATCAAAGTAATAAACTTGAAAGAAACTACACCCAATTGTTTTATATAATATTTACAATTTTAAAGTCATGCTTGAAAAATTTCAATTACCTTATTTCACTTTCAAATCTACTTGTTTCAGCCATTAAATTATACATTTTTAACATATATTTTCTAGTACAATCCGTGTGAACTATGCGTATGAAACAATCGATTCGTGTTAAGAAAATTGAGTGTTCGAATTTAATATTTCGGCCATTTTACTATGTCAAAACATGCCTCACGCGAGCTGTCCCAAGGTTACATTTTTGAAAGGAATCCTCTTACACGGTCCGTTCGTTTCTCCACAGAGCGGCTGAATGTTCGCGTCGACGTTTGACATTCGTCGCGCCAGACGAACCGAATCAGACCTCAGGGTCTACCGTGAATCGTAAAACGCGCGCAAGAAGGAGGCCTGCGTGCGACGTGGTCTCTCAGTACACGAGACTATAGTCATGAAAATAGAGTAATATCTGTGCTGCATGGTTACAACTCGAATTCATTGTTAAAAATTGGAAAACCACAGAGACACAAGGAAAAAGTACAGACGAGCGTGAAGCTATGGTGCGCAAAAATACATTTGTTCGAATATTACAAAACGGAAAGCAAGGGACTCAAAAATATCGGAAATAACTGAAATATGTATTATGTTCGAAAATGGGGAAGAGCTATTGCTCTGAAATATTTGTATGCTTTAAAAATGCTTGTAAACTACATTACGGTTTTTATATTCAACAAACAAACACAATTACTAAAACACAAATATAAAACGCAGTTTTGGATAACATTCATAGTTTGAACGCTTTTTTATAAAGTCTGCTTAATGAAATCTTATTACATATAGATACTACAGATAGAATATCATCGTCATAATATAATACATTCTATCTTTACTTCCGATTCCTTTTGCTTACAAAATTACCCTATTCGAGTTCCATGAACCCCACATCAATAAGTCACAAAAATCTATGCATGGAAATTTAAGAATGTTACGAACATGATACAATATAAAATTAACAATCACGTATAATCATCAGTTTGCAAAGTTTAGTACATCCTTACGAAATACAATAAAATTCAATACCCCTCGTGCTTCCTTGTGAGCGTTGAAAAATCGTCAACAAAGTAAGCTCAGCAGTCTCCTTTAACCTCAAACACTACATACTACTCCTACCAAATCTCATTTCGCATAAAGGTCGGCAGTCCACCTACCCTTTAAAACAAAGATCCTCCACCCTCATCCTTCAACCTCACTACCCTCAGCTCGGCGACTCCGTTACATGCATAAAATCAGAAGCGCAGCATGTGAAATCATAAAGCATCATATTACCCAACGCAAAGATCTCGTTACCGGGCGACGGGCTAACGTCAGGTGCGACGGAAACGCGAAGGACGAAGCGGCGGCTCCTGCGAACTCGCAAGATAGTCCTCTCGGCCGGTCGCGTGTGCGGGCCCGCGGCGGCCGGGTATATACGGACGTCGGTTTAGTTGCCGGTGTCGCCACGGGTCACGGTGGCGCTGCGCCGCCAGCGCGATCCTCAGTTCGTCACGGGGTCGCGAGGGGTACGCATTGCCTTCGTCGATTGGCCGTACCCACGTTCGTCCGTCGTGACGCGCGAAAACCGCACGAGCGCGTTCCGATCCTCGCATTAAACCAATGAAAAGAAGAAAGTCGAAACGATTGTGATCCCGTCATCAGTGCACGCAATCCCAAGAAATTTTTCTGTGCGGTGTCATGTCGCCGAGTGACATTTCGTCGTAGAGCAACCGCGGTCTTTGGTACCGTCGCCGGGAACGGAAGCAGAGGACTTGTGATCGGAAGAGAGAAGATCCGGGCACTGCGGTGGTACCTGCCGATTTCGATCTAACCTCCCAGCGGCTAGCTCTCCCCTGTGCTGTCAGCAAACGTGAGTGCTTCCTACCACCTTGTTTGACTTTGCTCGTGCCTCGGTCTCGTTTTCCCCACCGGTACCGGTCCCGAACGCACGCGTGGAACACGTCCCACCGAGGAAACGTACTTCGACTCGTTACCGACAGTTCGACGGAGTACGCTTTCGACGCGTGGCCCGGAATTCTTGATCGAGCACCGGGGGACGTGCTCTTCCTCCGATATTCTTACTCACCGATATACACAGATGAACTTCCGTTCGGACTGCGCGATCGGTACGGTACGTGTCGCACCGGCGTGTAACTGTATGTACTCGCGGAACGTGTTGCTCGCGTTCTTACCCCGTGACATATCCGATACGTGTACGCATCGTGCGCACGTAGACCTGGTGCACTGCGTTTGACGCTTGCGTTACATCGTGCGTATCGCCTGCGGACCTTTTTGATGGTACCTACCTCCCGCGAAGCTGTCCCGGCGCTCAGGTGCGAGCAGGCCATTCGGAGTTGAGTGAGTTCTTGATGGGGTTCGAGCTGGTACTTGTTCAACAGAAGGCTGGATTTACTGCATTCGATTCGTTTGGAAAATGAAGGAAGTTAACGATTTGCTCGTTAGTTGCCTGTTAACTTAACTGAGAAAGAAGAGCGAACTCTTTTTCATTTTTATCGGTTTCATTTGTCGGTGTATTTCGATAATGTTACATTTTTGTGTTTGTTTCTTTTTAGAGACTTTTGGAATAATTGATTAACAGTATTTATGACAGTATTATTTACAGGTATTGTAGTTTTATTTATTTTTAGATCGTTGTAATTTTCTCTTAGTATGACTATATGGCTATTTGAGAAAATATCAAAATGTTTATGCTGTGTTTGAAAACTAACTTGATAACTTCTTATTCTGTAATAATGTCACAACGAATTGCCGTGTCATGTCTTTTTTAAATAATTTCTTGGTTCATTAATCCTTATCACCACAACTGGCAGTCTCACCGTCAAGCACACATATACCAGAAACAATTACAATATTAAAATATGTATGAATTAATTCCCTATTTTTTGGTACTATTTTATGCTTAGCAGGCAATCATAATTGAATTTCCTCCTTGAAATTTATTTGGTGCAAGTGGCAATCGTTCTAAAATATTCTTGGAGTAATAAGGGTTAATTGGTATTGGTGGTGGGAAATTTATTGAGCAATCTTCAGTTGTTAAAGGAATATAGGATAGTTATTTGAAGATACACTGTCGAGTGAGACATATTTCAAAAGGAGAAAGCATAAATCGTATACTTAGGAAATTGGGATTTAAAGACTGATAATAGAATTGGTTGGTCCGTGCGGTTGTGAGAAAAGAAAGAGCCTTCAACGTTATTTTGCTTCGAAGTGAAACTTTGATTGAAAATCGTCGCTATTGGAAGCTCAATATTAAACGTTTTATCTTTTTTTTCATCGATGCTGTACTTATTGGGAACAATGTAGTTGACATTATTCAGTTATTTATAAAGTTGACTGCTTCAATTTAAATATTCCGTAAAAAGACAAATCAGTAATAACAATAATATATAAAAAGACATAATTAATATTTTTTATCTTAACTTTATGTCAGGAAGTATATAATAAGAACAGAACCTTTTATACGAATGAAATTGTTTCCGCAATTTCATTTTAATTTTACGGGAGATAAAAAGTGTATAGTAACCTTCGAAGAATGAATCTACCCAGGAGAATGGGTTATTTAAATTGATTTCAAAGAAGTGACTCCATTTAACTTAGCTTTTCTGCAGAGGATTAACCGGCACAAAAAAATTGTTCTGACATTTGTGGACATAAAAGTAAAAGCAGAAAGACGTATAAAGTGAATATCCCAGACAATCTTTTAATCATTTTATGCAGTTGCAAATAGACACATTCAGAAGAGTGAAAACGTAATGCGATTGGAAAGGGATTTCGAAAGATTGAACAAAATTTAGTAAAAAGAAGACCAACATCAATAGCTTTAATTATGATTAAAACCGTTGAATAACTATTGTCGCTACATCGATCGTAACCCGGATAGAATAAACTTCCTATATTCATCCATCAGAGTTTCAAATTATTCAAATTACATAAATACTTTATACAGTATTTTCACAGTATTTTCCTTGAAAGTATGTTGAAAAATTGATTATACTGTAACATATTTATAAAATATAAATATTCTACAAGCTGAACTCTCCCAATTCACGTAAATATATAAAACTAATATGTATTTAAAATGTATCCATCCAAAAACCGTACAATGGAACAAAAGGTTGCGGCTCCGCACAATGGGGATCGTCGAACAATAATGCGTTTTGCATCAAACAAAAAGAGCTAATTAAACGATGAAACGCTGAAAACAATCCGCGATTGCAATCCATTTTCAGGATAATGTGTACAGCATTTCACGATTGGAATATTCTATAATGATCGCGTATACTCGAAATTCATCATGACCGAAATCCGTGCATGTTGCTGGAATGATCGCGTTCCGCACGTACGTGTCTGCCCGATAATAATCGTTCCGAGACGTGGCTGTCAGAAGGCCACGTGGAAACTGCACCACTGGTTGCTTCCGTGCGATAAGTAATTCTCTCGGTGTGGCGGCGGCGTGTGAACCAGCGGCCGTCATTTTACTTGTAACACTTCATGTCAACGACTCCTCAGGAGGCACTCGCGATCGCGATCCATTCACGTGTCCGCGGTCAGGCGCGTTTTCCCTCCCGCGCGCGCCGCGATATCTACACGCCACGCCCGGCCAATTTTCTCAGATAATACGCGTTTCATGGAACTAACGGCCGCCCGCGCGATTTCCCCCGGTTACAATGGTTTCTCCGGCGCCGATAATGCCGACCGACGCATAAATAATTAATCGCACGCAATCAGCGTGTTTGCGTCCATACCGCAGCCGCTACACGCGAAAATTGCTTCTGTCTGTCGCGGAAACGAATCGCGCCGCACGAACGATACTCTCTCGGATCGTTTAAACAGTTATATGTATATACATATATATATAACAGTTACATCGGGATTGGGCGTTATTAAAATGAAGTTTTACTTGAATAGATTTGTTTATTTTTCATTTCATTCGTTACTTTAGCTTTGTTTATTTTATTAAAGGGGCCGTTCCGATTATTTTTTCAAGATTTCCATATTGCTTCGAACGTATCCTCAAAGAGTTTTATATAACTTTCAAATTGTGAAAGTTATCGTGTGACAGAGTGTCAATGATAGTGTGTAGATGCATAGTACACCAGTTCTCCAGTTATTATAAATATTTGCATATAAACATTTGAATATTTTATTTTATCTTATCTTATTTTTGTTATATTTTATTCTGTCCTGTTTAATTCTATACTTTTTTATTTTATTTCATTTCATTTCATTCTGTTTTAGTTTATTCTATTTGTGCAAAATATTTCGATATTGTTTGTTTATTCATAGATGTCAGAAATATTTTTAAATTTTGTACAAAATCGTTTATTAAATTATTTTTTAGATCAGTTCACTCCTGCTCAAGGCATTCTCGGTATCAATTTTTAAAACTGTTACAGTAAAATTTCAAGTACAATTTGTGCATCGATATAACGGTTGTCTTATATCCGAGATCATCACTTTTATAAATTTGTTGAATATATTTCTTAAAGAAATCATTTCAGAGATTTACGGATACATATTTTTGAAAAATGGATTGCTTAGCTTTTTAAATGTATGTAACTTAAACAAACGGGCTCTTTCTCGTCTCGTAGGTATACATGAGAAACGATTTGGAAGTTTCGTTCTCGCGCTTCAGTGGTGCGAGGATTTCGGATGCGTGTAATTCGGTAGAAGTTTGTTTCGGCGTTTAGCGAGAGTTTTGAGAGGATTTGTTCCTTTTCCTCTTTACTCAAAAGCGTTCGAATGTGGAACATTATTGAAAATGTTTTTTGGAAACATTCTTTGTCAGCCAGTTAGGAATAATACCTGTGTAAATATGTTTTTTAGTTAGCATTGTTTATGCAAATTTATTAACTCCCCTGTGCTAATTAGACTGTAAGTATAAAACAATTGTCATCCAACTATAGTTATGACGTTTTGAACCAAACGAAGTATTTTTCGTTAAACTCTGAATATTTTGTATAAGAACGTAAAGATATTAAATTATTATTGAAGTACAAAATATTAAGTTGGTCAAAAAAATGCCGCATTCTTCGAAGAAGTTTCACCTTACGTAAAACGTTAGTGAAATATTCATACATTATGCATTTTGTTCAAGAATACATATTTAAAGAGAAGCAAAAAAAGGAAGATCGGGCAACTTAATATGCAATTTCATATTTCCCTATATTAACTAGCCTGCGATTTATGCATTTAAAGCATATGCAAATGATGTCATTAAAACGGTAAAATAAGTGTTATAAAATCAGTAGATAACTCCAACAAGTTTCGGTTTGCAGTCCATTTTCAGAAACCCTTCTTCGAAAATTGAAATTTGTACAAAAATACGTTAATAATGGTGAAAAGAAAAAGTATATTGAACTCGCTTTAATACTTAACTACTACCAATATTACAAAATATAATTTCTACTGTACTACAATTGTCAATTCTGTGTCTGTCACATCGTTTAGCAAACTTACATCGAGTACAAATTAGAAACGACAAGAGTCAATGCACCTGCTAGGTAATTGTTCTTCGTCGCTTCGTTTCCAAAATAACAAAGGCTGGCTGACGTTAACACTATTCCTACCGCGACCGGTCAAATGACCAGTCTTTAGCACAACTTATATTTTTTAATATAGAATGAAGATAATAACCAATTTGACAGTATAAAAATATAATTTCTTTTATTTAGAAGTACATAATATACATTTTATTCGTTTTCACCGCATTTTTTACAAATAGGCTTCTTGATTGTACATTTTCCACTAGTACGTACTTTTTACATTTTAGACAGATTTTGTTAGTCTTATTGTCTTTACAATATCTTATCTGGCATGTTTTCCGTTCACGTGAACTTGTACTTGTAT